AGAAAAAAGAAAAAAAAAAAAAGGGGAAAAAATCTGATGGATGTGGGCCCTATATGTCAGTGGCTCATCCTACTTTTGATGTCTCTGAACCAAACAGAAAAAGGGTTGGTGCCATCTTTTCTCAACCAAACAAAAAATGAACTCGTCCCGTCCTATAAATCAGAGACAGGACCATCCCACCCCACCTTGTCTCCCAACTAAACGCTACCTACATGATTGCCCTCGCTCCGCACCGGCAGCTGGGCTTTGGATCGTGATTCCTGGCCTGAATCTTCTTTTCATATACGTCATTATTTAGTTTCCACCTCAAAACTTTACACTCTATCACATCGGAATGCTTGACACATGCATAGAGTATTAAATATAAACTAAAAAATAACTAATTGTACAGTTTGCGACTAATTTATGAGACGAATCTTTTAAGTCTAAGTAGTCTATAATTTGACAACAAAGTGCTACAGTAACATATGTGCTAATGATGAATTAATTAGGCTTAATAAATTTGTCTTACGGTTTACTGACGAATTCTATAATTTATTTTTTTATTAATATCTGAACATCCCATACAACACCCTTATGTAACCTCCGATATAACGTCCCCAGCTTTACTCGTTGGACAAGACCTACGTTTGCTTGCCCCAAGCGATAAAAGCACTGCAGCGCGGACATGGACGTCTCAGAAAGCAAATTCCGGAGAGGGAGATCGATCGAACCAAACAAAGGGAAGGAGCAGACCATGCCTACTTGCCTAGCCCAGTGAGCTTTCACCTCAACTGCCCCCCGCGCTGTGTGAAACGTTCGTGGCAATGTAAAAAATAGGTAACGTAACGCAGTAACTTGGCATGGCGCCGGCGCTGTGAAACGTTCGTGGCCGGCCGGGAAGCGTACGTGATAGGCCGTGCCGGTGCTGGTGCCACCCACGCGAGGAAAGGCAAAGCGCGCTATAGCCTATAGCTCCGCCTGCCGGACCAGTACCACCACTTGTGACAGCAAAAACACAGGGCACGCACAGGCGCAGCACCGCATTTGCACGCAGTGCAGTGCAGCTGATGGGAACAGTTCGGCGGAGCCGGGCGCTTTTGGTCGAGCCGTCTATCCGGCCGGCCGCAGCCACTGTTGCTTTCCTCCATCTGGCGGTCGCCTCCTTTCTGGCCCGGCCGGCCGACTATTCAACGGCAACGCCCGATCCAACAGCGCTCAACGTCTCCAAGGCACGGCCGCACGCACTTCCGTGTGCAAGCATAGAATAGATCGATCAGCGTTCAGTAACAACGAGACATCGCAAAAAAGAGAAAAAAAAAGACTGTGTTTAGTTCTCAAAAACTTTTCCAAAAAGTGTTATAGGAGTCATCACATCGAATCTTGACGATATGTGTATGGAGCATTAAATGTAGACGAAAAAAAACTAATTACACAGTTTGGTTGGAAATCGCGAGACGAACGTTTTGAACCTAAGGGCATGTACAACTCACAGACAGGGATCCATCTCTAAGTGCCTCGAATCTATCATACAGACAAGTATAAAGACCGATCATACAACCTACAGACGGAGTTATGTCTCTAAGCTATTTAATGCTTTGCATGTAGCTTAGATCAACTATAAATAAATATTTGTATAACATTGTGTGGCTATTTGATAGAAAATATATCAAGGATAAATAAGAGCAACATAATTACAATATTTTTTAAATCATCACAGCTAGGTTTAATGTGATAGAAGAATATTGCAATAGCCAAGAAAAAAACAATGATATATCATCTGCAGTGATCTTGGTTTAATATGATATTGCAATAGCCAAGAAGAAAACAATTTTGCTAATGCTTGACATATGATCCAAACATTGGTTTTCCTGATTTTTGCCTTAACTTATCAAGAACTAATCAGTAAAGATCACATACTCACACCAACCACGGCATGACAAAAGCAATTGACCGCAGATTCATCAAAAACAAAGGAAGGAAGCAAGGAACTGATCTTCTCGTTCATGTTGCCAGCGAGCTGGCGCGTATTGAACCTGAGCCACTAGCGCATCTTCTTGTTCCTCGATCCCCCACTTCTTGCCCCCCGGCTCCGTCTCCAACGCTTACACCAGTCGTGAGCTCCGGCCAGCAGCCCAGCACGACCTCCCTGAACATCTTGACGACGAACTCCCAGAACAGGGGCTGCAAGAGCTTCGCCTCGTCCTCGAGCCCAGTAGCTCCCAGCCAGCAGCGCAGAGCGCGGTGTTGACTCAAGTGCGGGGCGGCGGCGAGGGCACCCAGCGCCTGACAAGCGGACGGACGCGCCGAGCTCCGAGTCGAGGTGTGCAGCGGCGGTGGCAAGCTAGTGCCGGCGGACGCCCGGAAGCAGCGCTGAGCGTCGTCGAGGCACCGATCGAAGGAAGCGTCCCAGGCGGCGGCGAACAACAGGGAAGCAGCGAGATGGGAACGATTTTGGCGCGAGACTTCCCTCCGGCGCGCGGCCAAACTGAACCCCCCGCGCGCAGACGGGATCCGCACGTTGTCGAGTAGGGGATGCGATCCATACAACGCTGCCAGAGTCGGCATTTCGGCCTCGGGCAACGGGACTTCCCCGTCGTCTCACGAGACGACGCCGACCCCGTCTCCTCGTATCGGTGGGGGTGCTTTTTGCAAAATATACATCGTAGAGATGACTTCTGAAGACCCGTTGTACATACCCTAATTAGTCCATGATTGAACACTAATTGCCAAATAAAAACGAAAATGCTACCGTAACCAAATTCCTAAATTTCGCGAACTAAACACACGGCCAAAGAGACACGGGATCTTGTTTCCCCTGTGAATTAACTGTAGTAGCACTAGTCGTGATCCCAGCTATAAATGCATCTGGCCGGCCGGCCTATTCCGGGCGTACCTGCATGCAGCCATGCAGGTGGTCTTCGGTCAAACGCACACCGCAAGATTCCTTCATGCGCCGGGTTTGGTCGTGAGCATGCAGGTTAGTCTCTAAGCACATGGATCAAGGCTTCAAGCACTTTAGCCCGTGTTCAGTTGGCTGAAGTTTGGAAATTTGGCTACTGTAGCACTTTCGTTTTTACTTAGCAATTAGTGTTCAATCATGAACTAATTAGGTTTAAAACGTTCGTCTCGCAATTTTCCACCAAACTATGCAATTAGCTTTTTTTCCGTCTACATTTAATACTTCATGCACATATCGTAAGATTCGATGTGATGAATACTGTAGCACGTTTTGGAAATCTTTTTCAACTAAACACGGGCTTATTTGACCAAGATTTCTCATCTCAGTAGCTAGCTAGGGTTTGGCATTTCCTTCACAGTCACCGCCACTTCGTCGTGCCGAGGCCGAGCGCAGCGCCCTCCGGCCTACGGTTTTACGGCACGGTGAAAGTGAAACCTCTAGTCCCAGGTCGTTAGCAGAAACTACTACTACAGTTTTTTTTTCTCTCAGAGCTTATTCCTTTGACACATATTTCATTAAACACATATTTCATTAAACAGAAGTAGAGTTTAATTGGTTACAATATCCTTGAGTAATCCATAGATTATCGTGAAAAAATGGAAGCCAAGACGACCTTAAATAAACCTAACTTAAAATAACTACTACTACAGCTTGGCCTGATTGTTCTGCAAGCCAAGGCACTGGGGAACAAGTCAAAACTCTTGTGAGACCTTTCCTCGATCACTGCGTCTTTACAATAGAGAAGTACTCGCTGCTAGTGCTCGGTAATGCAGACGCAAATCCGCCAGAGCTGCGACGAAAAGGCATCGTCCGGTCGGCGAAGACTTTCAATTCGTCCAGTGAGAACCATTTTAAGCCCTTGTTTAGTTCATGAAATTTGGATTTTGGGTCTACTGTAGTACCTTCGTTTTTATTTGGCAAATAGTGTTCAAACATGGACTAATTAGGCTCAAAACGTTCGTCTCGCAATTTCCCACCAAACTGTGCAATTAGTTTTTCTTTTCGTCTACATTTAATGCTCCATGCACGGGCCACAAACATTCGATGTGACAGATACTGCAGCAACTTTTTGGAAGTTGGGGTGAAACTAAACAAGGCGTAAAGTATACTACTACCAGCAAATAAACAGGTCTTCTGGTAAGCCCTTGTTTAGTTCCCTTGGATTCCAGAATTTGGTACTATGCAAAAAGAAGATTTCCCGTCACATCAAATTTGCGGTACATGCATAGAGTACTAAATGTTGACGAAATCAAAAACTAATTACACAGTTTAGTTGTACTTTGCGAGACGAACGTTTTGAGAGTCTAATTAGTCAACGATTGGACAATTATTACCAAATAAAAACAAAACGCTACAGTAGCTACAGTGTATGTCGAATTTTGGCGGCGCCGATTCAGCGGGTGAACTAAGGGCCTGTTTAGTTTCCCCGATTTCCAGAATTTGGCACTATGCAAAAAGAAGATTCCCCGTCACATCAAACTTGTGGTACATGCATAGAGTACTAAATATTGACGAAATCAAAAACTAATTGCACAATTTGGTTGTACTTTACGAGACGAACGTTTTGAGCCTAATTAGTCAACGTTTGGACAATTATTAACAAATACAAACGAAACGCTACAGTAGTTACTGTGGCTACAGTACTCTGACGGCGCCGATTCCGCGCCGAACTAAACGAGGGCTAAACAGGCCCAAAGTAGTAAGCTGCAGTAACCAATTTCACAGTTTCACACTTCCCCAGTGAATGAACAGAAAGGAAGTCCAAGGCCAGCCGGTGTGCCGTGCCCTGGAAGCCTGCCCGGCCGGCCCATCCCGGACGGATGGACGCGGGTTCCCATGGCCCAACACCGCACATCGGGCCCACTTGTGAGTCCCACTTCCATGTGGGCCAGGAGGCCTCACCGTGTGTCCCTCTCCCTCCCGCAGTCCCGCTCTATATAAACCCGACACCCCCCACCCAGGAGGACTCCAAGCCACGCAACGCAACCAAGCCACCACTACCATTCGCTCTACTCAGAGAGGAAAGGAAAGAGAGCATCTTGGGTGAGTGTTCGGAGCCATGGAGAAGTCGTCGTCCGAGAATGCCATCCCGCCGGCGGCGGCGCCGCTGAAGCTGTTCGGGTCGTGGGCGAGCTCGTACACGCACCGCGTGCAGCTGGCGCTGCGCCTCAAGGGCCTGGAGTTCGACTACGTGGAGGAGGACCTGGGGAACAAGAGCGCCGAGCTGCTGCGCCACAATCCCGTGCACAAGAAGGTGCCCGTGCTCGTCCACGGCGGCCGCGCGCTCCCGGAGTCCGACATTATCCTCCAGTACCTCGACGACGCCTGGCCGGAGACCCGCCCGCTCCTCCCCGCCGACGCCTTCGACCGCGCGCTCGCGCGGTTCTGGTGCCACTTCGCCGACGACAAGGTACGTACGCCGTCGTCGCCGGTTCTCCTCCTTGGGATGCACACACACACACACACGTGTTCGTGTGTCTATCCTGTGTCGTCTGAAGAGAACAAGAGATGCCTGAGTGCCTGACACAGAGTTACTTACGTGCGGCTCGTTTTTGTCCTCTTCCGATCGAAATGTGGTGTTGCAGCTCGGGCCGGCGGTGGGCGCGGTGTTCGCGTCGACGGGGGAGGACCAGGGGGCGGCGGTGCGGCAGGTGCACGACAACCTGGCCCTGCTCGAGGCCGAGCTCCGCGACGGCGCGTTCAGGGGCCGCCGCTTCTTCGGCGGCGACGAGGTGGGCTTCCTGGACGTCGTCCTGGGCTGCGGCTCCTACTGGCTCGCCGTGTTCGAGGACGTCACCGGGGTGCGCCTCGTGGACGCCGACGCCTTCCCGCGCTTCCACGCCTGGCTGCGCGACTTCGAGGCCCTGGACGAGGTCCGCGAGACCATCCCCGCCGTCGACCGCCTCCTCGAGTACGCGCGCGGCCTCCGCCACATGCTGCTCGGCCTCGCCGGCGCCGCGGCCGCACCCTCCGCCGAAGCCGGCCCGACTGCCGCCGCCGCGCCGGCGGCGGCCGCGGCCGCGGCTGACATCGCCGTCGACATTTGAACGCAGGGCGTCGTCGAGCTCGGGCGTCAGCGCCAGCGCGCGACGTCCGGCTAGTGATCAGTAGTAGCTACTAGTACCTAGTTTGCCGTGTCGATCGCGCCATGTGTGGTGGCTGCTGAGTCTGCGTGCCTAGCTGCCTGCCGACCTGGAGTGCGCTTCTGCTGCCACCACAGTTAATTGGCGCAGTTTGTCTAGGTGTCGAGTTTGTTTTCTCAACGTCCTTTTTTTTTAAAAAAAAGTTCGTCCCTCCAGTTAATCTCTGTTTGCTGCGACTTGTTCTTGTGTCTGGGACGAATCTCGTGTGTTTGTTTGTATCTAGCAGTTTGGCTCGCTTGTTTAAATGTTAGCCATGTGCACCTGGTAATTTCTTCGAGCAAAGTTTCGGCGTACGGCCTCATGAGATTGTGATCAATTTCTATTGCAATTGGAGTACTACGTACCAATAATGGTCCTGATCGGCTTATCTTATATTCGATTTGTTCGGCTTTTTTTTTCAGCTGAAACAGTGATTTTCTCTTACAACATTTGGACTAAATATAGGTAAAAAAAATAACTAATTACACAGTTTAGTTGGAAATCACGAGATGAATCTTTTGAGCCTAGTTGGTCCACGATTGGACAATATTTGCCAAATAAGACGAAAATGGCACTATTCATCGGGTTCAATTTTTTTTCAATCTAAGGCCTTGTTTAGATACCCTCAAAATTCTAAGTTTTTTCACTCTCTCTCCATCACATCAATTTTTAGCCATTTACATGGAGTATTAAACGTAGGTAAAAAAAATAACTAATTACACAGTTTAATTGGAAATCACGAGATGAATCTTTTGAGCTTAGTTGATCCACAATTGGACAATATTTACCAAATAAGACGAAAGTACTACTATTTATCGGGTTGAAATTCTTTTCAATCTAAACAAGGCCTAAACAAGGCGTAGCCCAGCACCCCCTGCGGCTCAGAAAAGGCATTTAAAAGCTGCAGAGGAGCTGATGAAGCGGATAATAGGCACTGATTTCCTCCCATGCTGTTGTGTTGAGAATTGATGGCTGCTCGTGTTTGCCCTGAACCCGGATACCTGCCCACGAGTGCAGGGTGGCCATTCATGCCCTGCTGTCCTGACTCCTATTCATCCTAATGCAATTGCACAATCAAACATGCATCGATCATTTCATCTCGTGGTTGATGACAACGCATGGTACAAACACCGTGGAATGGGGCAGGTGACTAACTGAGCGCCGAATCGGTCGAATGGATGTGCTCAAGAATGAGGCATTTTGGGACGGCGTAAACAGCTGAAATCCTGCACTACAGATGATCGCAAAACAGGCAAGCCTGCAAGGTGAACGAGTACGGACAAAAGACGGATGGTAGGTTAGGCCAAATGTTTAGTTCCCCAATTTACGAATTTGACCACCATACAGTGAACTGATTCCATCCTAGGATGCAAACCAACTGCCCCGATCCGGTATCCATTACCCCTAAGCACCAAGAAGATTCAAGGCTCAAATCCATGGTTGAAATCAAAATTAATTACACGATGGCGCCAAGTGATTGTCTTAAGCGATCTGCGAGCGGCACCAACGTTGACGGCTATAGCCTAGCTTAACGATTGAGATCAATTATTACCAAAATAAAAAAGAATGAATCCATCCGATCGCTAGGCTACAGCACACCGTCACAGCTCTTTTTTCGGGCGACGCCGAATCGGCAGATGAACTAAACGCGGCCTTAATGGCAAATATCCACCCAAACGAAGCGCGCCGAGACGGACGGACAAAGCCTGCAAAGGTGATAATCTGCGTCGCGCACGTGAACGGCGCTGCGCATGTGCAAGCCTGACCTGCGCCGGCGATTCTGTGGCGGCAGGGCGGGCGGCCCGATCGAGGAACTTGTTTAGTTACTCCAAATGTAAACTTTGACACTATAAAAACAACATGTTGCACATTCTTCGTCGCATAAAACTGTGCAGATATTTGGAAGACTGGTATGCCGCTAAGAGTAAAGACGTTCCTATGAAATTCAAAACGCAAATTACACAGTTTAGTTGGACTTTTACGCGAGCAATGCTAACGTTTTGAACCTAATTAGTCAATGATCGACAATTATTCACCAAATACAAACGAAATTCCATCATCTCCCGGTTGCTGTATTCTAATGGTGCTTCGAATTTCGGCGGCGCCGATTCTGCAGGCGAACTAAACGCGGCCCGAGTATCTTGCGATGCGCCCTCGAACGTACCCATTTACCACTCGCTCGTTCAGAATCAGACGCCGAGCTCCGGCCCTTATTTAATCCCCTTTAAGCTTTTGTTTGTCCGTAGGGCCATTTATAATTTAAACTTTGGATTTTTGCCTTGGCGTATTCGAGAAAAAACAATAATTTGTAATATCTTTGTTTTTATTTAGTAAAACTAGTATATCAAACAAATTCAATAACTTGTGAAGAAATGGCTCAAGTAACAGGTCAGAACATCAACAACGCCTACATGCCCTTCGCAGGATTTCTCAATCAAAGAGAGCATATTAGTTTTGCTCATTTACCTTGCCTTTGTGCAAATGCCCAGAACTTAAAGAATTGGCCCCAAAACAACTTCAAAGATAAATCTATCACATTCAACACCAAAGCAGTGTCAAACTTTTTCCAAAATTAGGGTAGAACTAAACAAGAAGATAGTCTATACTCTATGTTTGTTAAGAACTTTATCCTATTCGTTACACTTATAAGCCTTATTTTTTAACTAATAAATAATATTTTTCTTTTACAAACAACGCAAAAAAACGGTACTTTCAGTCCGGATGAACGATCATCCTGCTGGTCGGGCGTTCTCCGCTGCAGGCTAGTCCATGTGCCACCTCGAGAGTGATAGTCCTACCTGGTGTGTGACCTTAATCGATATCAACAATATCTAAGTTGTTTGCTTGAGCTGATGCTCTAAACGGATCATTGTCATGGTTTTATTTAACTAGCAAACATACACATGTGTTGCTGTAGGACAGAATGACTTGTTGCCTAGTCGACAGCTTGGATTTCGATATTTATTCAATAATTATGTCTTACATTTTAATTCTTCCTAGAGTTGAACTCCTACACTGCTCTAATTTGTATAGGCTGGGGAGGTTAGGGATTTGTCTATATTTCACGCAATGCCACAACAAAAGAATTTTTTTCCTCTTATGATAAAAATTTCTTTAAAACAAAATCATTCGAGTATATATTAACGTGGTTTTGTTTCAAAACTTAAGCGCAAGGATACAATTAGAATTTAATTTCAGGCCATCATTTAAAAACAGTAGATTTTAATTATGTAAATTTTGTTTTTTATTAATCAAATCCATAAATAACCTTTTGATATTTTTTTGAAACGAAGCTCGCTCACAGAAAAGAACGTCGAACGGAACGTGACAACAGAGCACCAACCGGGATAGACGGAGACGCGGTGTTGGAGTAGACTAACGGAACCGGACCGAGCAGACAGGGGATGGAGGAGCTGACTTGGACGCAGGGATGGATCTAGCTCTGTGGCCCCCCCCCCACCCCCCACTGCCTCTGATCCCATGGAGCCCCTTTAGAGCCCTTCGAGAATTTTTTTTTCTCTTATAATAAAAAAGTTGCTTTGAGGATGAGTGGTTGGAGGTGGAAGATAAAATTTGAGCCCATTCTAAAAATAATTCTTCGTGATTTAATATTAGAATAATAAAAACTCTTCATGACTTGTTGTCTAGTCGACAGCTTGGATTTCGATATTTATTCAATAATTATGTCTTACCTTCCTAGAGTTGAACTCCTACTGCTCTAATTTGTATAGGCTGGGGAGGTTAGGGATTTGTCTAATATTTCACGCAATGCCACAACAAAAGAATTTTTTAGCTTATGATAAAAATTTCTTTAAAACAAAAATCATTCGAGTATATATTAACGTGGTTTTGTTTCAAAACTTAAGCATAAGGATACAATTAGAATTTAATTTCAGGCCATCATTTAAAAACAGTAGATTTTTAATTATGTAAATTTTGTTTTTTAAATGCCATAAATAACTTTTTGATATTTTTTTTCGAAGCTCGCTCACAGAAAAGAACGTCGAACGGAACGTGACAACAGAGCACCAACAGGGATAGACGGAGACGCGGTGTTGGAGTAGACTAATGGAACCGGACCGAGCAGACAGGGGATGGAGGAGCTGACTTGGACGCAGGGATGGATCTAGCACCCCCCCCCCCCCAAACTGCCTCTGATCCCATGAAGCCCCTCTAGAGCCCTTCGAGAATTTTTTTCGTGGTTGCTTTGAGGATGAGTGGCTGAAGGTGGAAGATAAAATTTGAGCCCCTTCTAAAATAATTCTTCGTGATTTAATATTAGAATAATAAAAAACTCTTCATGGTTTAATATTAAAGTAAGATTCAGCACATCAAACATCCGATGAATATATTAAAGTAAGATTCAGCGTATCAAGCATCCAACATTCATTGGGAAGCCTGTCGCATGCACGGCACACGCCCCGTGTATTAGTGGCGTAGCCTGGATTTGAAGACTCCTACAATGCAAATATAGGTTGCATGCCACATAAATTGGTTCATGTTTGATCAAGTTTCTACAAAATGGTATTCACATTTATGGTTTCAAATTAACTTATTATGAAAATACATTTCGCAATTAATCTAATAGTATTTATTTGGCATCATAAATATTAATATATTTTTTATTTATAATTAGTCAAACTTAATGTACTCAAACTTGACACTGCGGTAGAATTTTATCCTTTCTGGGATGGAGGGGGTAAATGCGTCCATGACTCCTAGTACAGTGGCGTAATGCATGTATATACAAGGTATAAGAAATGTTTTCACCAAAATCTTGGGTATTCACATGAATACACAGGTGCATACCCCTGGCTACGCCCCTGCCGGTTTTGTTCCCTTGTTGATCGTGTTCTTTTTATTTTTTTGAAAGAGATTGTCGATCGTGTTCTGAATGACTGGATCGAACCCCTTCGGGCATTGAT